TTCTCCTCTCGGGATCTTGGGCACGCACGCACACGCGCCCGACATGAGTTTAAGACACTGGGTCCGGGACTCAAACTGCGGTCGACTATGTGGGAGTCCCGCGACATAGCCATTACGCCAACTATGGTCTCCCTAGTCAGCATTTTCAACTATTGTGTACCTTCAGTTTTCACTCTACTAGTTTCTCTTCTGGAGGTGTAAGGTTGGCCATGCCCCCGGAGCTGTCGCGGCAGGCTGCTCTGGACCTTCCGCTTGTTTACATGTACTCTGGCAGATGCTTCCGCCAGGCTCTGGGGCCTCGCTGCCTCTACTTCGTGTGTGAGAATCCACGTGTGGCGCTCTGGTTGAGCTGATGAAGCTGTTCCCATGGCCCCCTCGCTCATCTCGATGGCACTTGTGCGTGGTGGTGCAGTGGGGCGTCACTTCCCAGGGATGCTTGCGCTCAGCTTCTCCCCGAGGAAGGGTGGCTCCACAGGCATACTCCGGGACGCTTTGCAGTTCCCTTGTTCCTTGTCCTACTTGGTGCGATAGTAATTGCCCCGGTCAAAAAATTCTGATTTCCAGGATGTCTTAAAAAAAGACTTTTAGATTCATCCTTCTGCACCATAGGAGGCCCCACCCCAACTAGAATGTTACAAATGTAGAAAAAGTGACAAAAGGAGAAATCCTATCATAAAACCCTGCGATCCGACAGTGAGAGGATGTGCCCACGGTATTGGGGAGTACACCCGAGGCGGTGCTCGGCTTTGAGTCTGCCTTAGCGGCTGCGGGACGTCCCTGCCTCCGTCTCCGCACCTGTGGAAGGGGACAAGGTACCTGAGGAGCTGCCATGCTGCAGTGTTAGACGCTTAACGCAGTGTCCAGGGCACAGGCGACCCCGAGCATCAGCTTCAGGAACACAGCGGCGGTTCGGAAAGAGGCGGACTGAGGGGATGCGAAGGTGTTAGACACGCTCTCGCTCCTCCCGGAAGTTCACGGGTTTCTATCCATTAAGTCCAGTGTGAGTGTTTATTTTTCTTTTTTTTTTCCTCCCAGAGACAGATATCAGAAGTTTAAGGCCTACAATTGCCTACTGCATTCCTAAATGTTGAAGTGGAGAAGGATTAAAAGCATAGCCCTTGCCATGAGATCAGGGTTCTGACAAGGTTCCCCAAGGGGACAAGACCTGTGTGGCCCCGGGCAAGGTGACATGCCACAAGGAGCCAGTCTTCCAGCACCGTAGGAGAGACAGGCCTCAAGATTAGCTGGCAGCATTAATTAACCGAGGAAGGACTGCCATCAGTATGACCACGGAGGAAGGAGGTGGCATTACAGAATGGCTCCCACTCCTGACCAAGAGTGAGGGGTTCGGAACACACAGGGGACTGCTCCCCCGAAGGTGCACCATACTGCTCTGCCCGGTTGCCCTGGGAACCAGACTCCAGCCCTGTGGCCAGTTTGGTCCCGACTGGGAGATCACCTCTGGCAGAAGTGGTAGCACCTGGAGGGAGGGCCTGGCTTGGTGTGGCTGCGCTCAGGGGAGGTCTGGGGAAGGAGTCCCCGGAGGGAAGTGTGGGTTGTGTGAGCCATGCCCTGGCGCCAGCAGAGTTCCTGAGCCCTGTAGACGCACGTCTGTGTCTCCCACTTGTCCTGTGAGCAGCTCTGCCGAGGAGCAGCCGTGGTTGCAGGACAGGGACTCCTTGCTCTGGAGCTCTGGGCATGTTCCTTCACAGCTCTGCACACCTGGGCCTGCTCACAGCCCAGGGCATGCCACTAAGCTCAGCCAGCAGGGGGCGGTGGACGTGGCATATGCGATTCCTGGGGCAAGTCCCTGAAAAGGGACATCGCGGCCCTCATGCTCTTCCCCCCTTCACAGGGCCGAACCAGGGTGTGGTGAGTTGGGTCTGCTCCCGGTAGGCTGGGACACGGTGGGCGTCACCTCTGAGGAGCTGCTCTTCGCCCCCGCCATGCCTGTCTGCTTTCCCAAAGCAGGGACGGGACGAGCAGGCCCTTTGGCGTGTTCAGGAAGCTGGGCGCTCTCCCTGCTGTAGGCCGCTCGTGAGCACTTCTGCCCCGCTGCTCTCGGAGTGACCTGGGCCTCTGGGGTCCTTAAGACACGGTCCCGAAGTCGGTGAGGTCGAGCACTTTCACGCTCTGGTCGTCTCCATCTCTACTTTCATCCTCTCAGTGGATGGTGCGATCTTCCAGAGGCCACGCGACCATGATGGCGTTACCGTGGAGCCTGGCCGAAGTGTCAAGAGTATTTTTTTTTTTTTTTTTTCATTTGAAGGTTTTCGCCACGGGGAACGTGCACTCACTAGAGAGACAGTGAGTGGGAGAAATCACCCTCAGGGACGGCTATGCCGCAATCCCGTATCTTCCTGGGATTTTGGGCACACAGGCACACGTGCCTGGCAGGATTTTCAAGATACCAGGTATGATACTTGAACTGCGGTCAGCCATGTGGGAGGTCAGTGCCTCGACTGCCGTGCCACCTCCTGGCTCTGAGTATTTTTAAGTTTCTCAGGTTCGAGGCACCCCTGTGGTCTAGTTTTTGAGAGCCAGTTCGCACACAGCAACCATGCACTTAAAGACTCCTGGCTCAGGAGCTTAAAAAATACCCCGGCTGAGTGTGCGTGCGTGCACACGTGTGCCCCAAATCCCAACAGGAGAGAGAAATGGGGAAGGGATGTGGCGTGACCACCTCACTGGAAGGTGCCGTCTTCCTCTCCCTTCTCTCTGACAAATGTACACAACCTCTGGCAATTAAACAAAATGTTTTTCTGTTTTTAAATTTATTTCCTGTGTAAGAAAGGGGTGCCCATGTCCAGGTCTCATCATGCCGTGACTCCTCCACCAGCCCTCCAGCTGAGAGGGCCTTGGGTGCATGTGCCGGGCCTCACTTCTCGTTTCTAAAATGGTAAACGTACTTTTTAAATTTGCCGGTGAGAGCATGTGTTTGGCAGACGGAGGGAGAAATAACCCCTCGGTGGGACGTGCTGATGCCACAATGCTATCTCCATGTCTTCACCTGTCCGAATTTAGGGTGCACAGACATTTGTATCCCACCATTTTTCTTTCTTTCTTTCTTTCTTTCTTTTTAAGAGATTTTTGCTATAGTGCATATGCACTCACCAGTGACACAGAGAAAGAGAAGTCACCCCGCCCTTCGTGGGGCGGCCTGCTGCAATCCCTTCTCCATTCTCTTCCAGGGATTTTGGGCATGCATGCACATGCGCCTGGCACGAGTTTCAAGCCACTGGATCCGAGACTAGAACTGCGTCAACCATATGTGAGTCCAGTGTCTTAAACACTAAGCCACCTGCCGGCCTCTCCCACACATTTTTCAAACCACCAGGGCTGGGATTCAAACCACATAGACCATGTGGGATCCAGCCACCTTAACTGCCATGCCATCAGCGGGCCCCAGAGACATTTTGTCCTGTGTAAAGTCCCCAATAATTTCTCCCTGTGGACTTGAACATCCTGAAATGACAGAAAGATATATGCCAATTAACTCCCAGTTTCCCAGTAGTCTGAGAATGGCTGTGGCATCCAGGAGAGGAAGAGAAACAAGTTTCCTGTAATAATCATCCCATGACGGACATACATTGTTTCCGAATTTTAGCTATTACTATTACAAGACTGCATTAGTGTTTTTTTTTTGGAGAGATTTTCACTGTAGGGCGCGTGCGCTCGCCAGACAGACAGAGTCAGAGAGATAGAAAGTGAGAAATCACCCCCCAGGGGGATGACCACGCCACAATCCCTTCTCCTCCATTCTCCTCTCGGGATCTTGGGCACACATGCACACGCACCCAGCGTGAGTTTAAGCCACCGGGTCCGGGATGCGAACTGTGGTCGACTACGTGGGAGTCCAGCGACATACGCTAACTGCTGGTCCCAAGACTGCAATAGTTTTCCAGGGCAGCTTATTAGACAACTATCCTCACAGTTCTGGAGGGTAGAAGTCCAAGATTAAGCCATGCTGAGGTTGGTTCCTTGTGTGGGCTGTGAGAGGATCTGTCCCTGACCTCGCTCCTTGGCGTGTAGACGGCCATCTTCTCCCTGCCTCTTCGTATCATCCTGTGTGTGCGTGTGTCTGTGTGTGTGTGTATAAGGAGGAGTTTCTGTTCCAATTTGTCCCTTCTATCCAGACACCATTATACTGAAATAAGAACTAATTTGTCGCCTCTCTAATGACCCTATTTCCAAATAATGTCATGTTCTGAGGTACTGGTGGTTAGGACTCCCAAGATCTGTTTTTGTTTTTTTTTGGTGGGGGGGGGGACACAAGTCCACTCATACCAAATATCATGAAAGAACAAAGCAAGTCACTGATTCCTCTATTTATTTAGGAGGTAGGGGGAGGGCTGCAGAGGGGACAGAAGAAAATTACCCACAGGGAAATTACTGAAGGGTCTGCAGGGACTGAGCGGGGGAGCGGTGACACTTTCTGTAGCTGACAAGGGGCAGGGCACATCTGGAAGTACCTGGTGCGAGCTCTGTGTAAAACCTACCTTATGGATGAGTACAGAGGCTACTACTTAGCCATTCATACATGTTTCTACCATCGAGATTTTTCTATATACAGTATATGATCTGTTTTTATAAATGTACAGCTTGAAAAAAAGAGATCCTTATAATAAGTACAGCATTAAACACAAAACCAACATGGGCCAGCCACATTCCAACTGCAGACCCAGAGAAAGCATGGCTGACAGCCCAGCCCCCACCCAGCCCCGCCCCTTCCCGGTGGCCCCGGGGGGCCCCAACACCCTCTGTCCCTGTGGGCTCGGCAGGTCAGTCCGCCCAGGCCGGCCTGTGGGGGGGGTCCTCCCTGAGGGAAGGTGTGGAGAGGAATGCGGCAGGTATGGAAGAGAGGAATGAAAGAAATGTGCTCTTCAACTCAAGGCACTTGTCGCGGCCACCCACAGCCATTCCCTGGGCCTGGTGAGCGAGCAGGGTGCTGTTGGATAGAAGCCAGCAAGGTCCGAGCAGACCTCGCCTGTCCTCTCACCAGGCTTAAATACAATAAATAAAAGGGAAGGTGTGGAGAGGAATGCGGCAGGTATGGAAGAGAGGAATGAAAGAAATGTGCTCTTCAACTCAAGGCACTTGTCGCGGCCACCCACAGCCATTCCCTGGGCCTGGTGAGCGAGCAGGGTGCTGTTGGATAGAAGCCAGCAAGGTCCGAGCAGACCTCGCCTGTCCTCTCACCAGGCTTAAATACAATAAATAAATCTGGGCTGTTGTGCCTTCCTGGGTTCCTACAAATAGGCGGCCTTTTAAGATCACTTATGGAGTGACGCTCCCCATGCCCAACTCGGCTTTTTCAGTGTCCTCCATGGGGGAAGTGCTAGCACAGCTTCAGGTCTTGGGGCTCATGGTGAATCGGAAGGGGAGCCCCCCAGTGTCCCTCCCCTGCCTGCGCCTGGCACTCCGCCCCATGTCAGAGTTTCCGGAGCCTCAGATCTTGGTCACGTAGTTGTTGGGGAACAGGCCCTGTTTGCCTCGTAGTCGACCGGTCCACCAGCCAGAAGGATCTGCAAGAAGAGAGCGATGGGAAACGAAGGCCGTTCAGCCAAACACTGCTCACGGGGGCTTCGGTGATCTGGCTCCACCCACATTTTTTTCATTCCCTATTTTATTATTTATTTACTCTAAATTTGCTATAGGGCATGTGCATTGCTGAAGAGAGCAAGAGAGAGAAGGAAAGTGAGAAATCACCCTGCAGGGGAGATGGCCACTCCACAATCTCTTCTCACTCTCCACTAGGGATTTTGAACACGCACTCATGCACACGTGCCGTGCTGCTGGCCATGTGGGATCCAGCTGTTAACCACCATGCAACTTGGCTGGTCCCATTTTCTTATTTTAAATGAAAAAAAAAAAAAAAGTTGTAAAAAGTAATCCTTCCCAGGGCCAGCAGGTGGCATGGTGATTGGGGTGCTGGACTCCCACATGGCTGGACCACAGTTTGAGTCCCAGACCTCTCAGCTTGGTTTCTCACTTTCCCCTTCTCTCCCTCTCTATGACTCTGGTTAAAGTAAAAAATAACAACAAATAAAAATTAAATAAGTAATTCATAAAAAAAAATAGTAATCCCTCCCTCATGGCAGACACAGATGTGCTCCTCAAATCCTCCTGCAAGAAAGAACCTGCAGCCTGGACGTGAGACAGCACCCCCAGCATCAGGCCAGCCTCAGCAGTGACGGAACGAGGGCCGAGCCATGGCTGCCCGGAGCAGGGCCAGTCCGCTCTGGGCAGCTGCTGGGCTAACAGTCCTGTCTTCCCCCCTCTCTATGGGGTGACCCCAGTTCACCTTCCACACTCAGCTCCATCTCAGAATCTGCTTCCTGGAGAACCAGCTCTGTGACTCCTTCATAATGCTTAACTTCCTACCTTCTTTCGAGTCTCTTCATCACAAATAATTATTTGGTAAGCATCTTTCAGGCCTATTTCTGTGCAAAATTCACCTAAAACAGCAAACGGGCCATTCTATATCTGATTTACCTTCAATACTTGAGATAATCTTCCCCTGCCTGTAGCTCATTGTTTCTAACTGCATCATATAGCGAACTCGATACAGCTCTTCCCTTACTGAGGGACATCTGTCCTCAGCCTTTCACCCCCAGTGCCGTAAATGTACCTCTGTTTTGGCCCATATGCCGTAGTTGTATAGGATGGACTCCTGGGCCAAAGAACATGGACTTACTATTATCCTTTTTTTTTTTTTGAGAAGTTTTTGCTATAGGGTGTGTGCACTTGCCAAAAAGAGAGAGACAAAGAGACAGAAAGCGAGAAATCCCCCCCCAGGGGGGATGCCCAAGCCGCAATCCCTTCTCCTTCATTCTCGTCTCGGGATCTTAGGCACGCATGCACACGTGCCCAGCGTGAGTTTAAGCCACTGGGTCTGGGACTCGAACCACAGTTGACTATACTGGAGTCTAGCAACGTAGACATTATGCCAACTACTGAGCCCGCTATTATCCTTTTTTAAGAAATTTATTTTGGAGGCTCAGTTGGTGGCACAGTGGTTAAAGCATCTGGATCCCACATGGTTGACCAAGCTGTTCAAGAGCTGGACCTGGTGGCTTCAGAAACACACCAGGTGCATTTGCATGTGTCTGGAGACCTTGAAGAGAGGGAGAGAGGGAGGAGAGGGGATTGCTACGTGACTAATCCCATTGGGGGTGCTTTCTTACCTTCCCTATCTCTGTCTCTCTCTCTCTCTCTCTCTCCAGCAAGTACACATATCCTCTGGCAAATATATATATATATTTTTTTCTTTCATTTATTTATTTTTACATTTTTCCATAAACATTTACTTTACATAGCAAAAAATTTTAGCTCATACTCCATAATTCTTGACAGTTTACAAACAATATATATTTTTTTAAAAAACGAATTATTTAATTTTGTTCATTGTCCTTATTATTTATTTATATTTATTTTTGAATTTGACCAGAGAGAGACAGAGAGAGAAGGAAACTGAGAAAGCAAGCTGCCAAGTCTGAGACTCGAACCACAGTCAGCCATATGGGATCTGGTTTCCTTAACCTCCTCTCCATCTGCTGGCCCTACTTTTGTAATATCTAATGCAAGCTGTCAGGTCTGGGACTTGATCCGTGATTAGCCATGTGGGAGTCCAGCACTGTAGCCACCATGTCACCTGCCATCCGGGCAAATATTATTTTTTTACTGTATTTTTATACTTTCAAAAGTACAAGAGAATAACAAGTGAAAACAGTCACTCAGATCCCTTCTCTGAAGGCAAACAATATTATCTACTTCTGGAAGAAATAGGTGGCGGTTGGGGACCAGCAGGTGGCGTGATGGTTAAGGTGCTGGACACTCCCACACGGCCGATCAGGGTTCGAGTCCTGAATCTGGTGGCTTGCTTTCTCACTTCCTCTCTCTCTCACCCTCACCCTCTCTCTCGCTCTGGTCAAATTTAAAAATAAATGAATAAAGAAAATAAAATAAATAATTATTTTTTAAAAAAGTACTCTTGGTCAAATAAAGTTGGAAAAAAAAAGAAATAGGTGGTGGTTAAGATGTTGGACTCTCACATGGCTGACCAACGTTCAATTCCTGGACCTGGTGGCTTGCTTTCTCATTTTCCCCCCTCTCTTGCTCGCTGTCTCTTTGGTCAAATTTAAAAATAATAAAACATAAAATTAAATAAATAATAATAAAATTCCATGTGTGAGGGGACTTCAAAAAGTTCATGAAAAATGCATATCACAGAAAAACTATGCATAAATTTTTAAAAATGCACAAAAATTTTAATTTCATTTTCCCATGACCTTTTTCAAATCCCACTTATATACAAATACGTTTTTATAAAAGTTACCCTCTTTTGTACAGAAATAATACCACCCTGTATGGTCAACACTTTTTAATTTTTTAAAGAAGTTTTAAAAAAAATATTTAATTTTATTTATTATTACTACTTTTAAATTTGGCCAGAGAGAAACAGAGGGAATGTGAGAAGGCAAGCTGCCAGGTCTCGGACTCAAACCACGGTCGCCTCTGTGGGATTCCAGTGCCTTAACCACCATGCCGCCTGCTGGCCCTGTATTTAGAAGTGCAGACCACGGGGCAGGCAGTAAACAGTGAAGCACATATTTCCCTGACGAACCGCAGCGATGACCGTCTATGCTCTTTCTCTTCTTTCCTTTTATCAGTTTGCCAGCAGGCGAGTGCCCTCTCCAGAGACAGAAGGTGAGAGAGCAGCCCCACAGGGAATGGTGGAGACCACTTTTAACATTTTTTTATAAACACAATTACCTTTTTTTTTCTTTTACAAAATGACACTATAGTCCATAATCTAACCTTTTCATTTTCTGGTGATTATATTCCCATGTTAATAAATGTACTGTACCTTTACATTATTATCTTTAATTAACAGCGTGCGTGCCCAAGATCCCGAGAGGGGAATGGAGGAGAAGGGATTGCAGCATGACCATCCCCCCTGGGGGGTGATTTCTCGCTTTCTGTCTCTCTATCTCTCTCTCTCTGTCTGGCGAGCGCACGCACCCTATAGCAAAAACCTCTCAAAAAAAAAAATCTCCCCTCAGGGTGATTTCTTGCTTTCTGTCTCTGTCCCTCTCTGTCTCTCGGGTGAGTGCACATGCCCTATAGAAAAATCTATCGAAATAAATAAATAATAAAATTCACTGGTTGGATATTGAAGGCCCATCTAACCAATCCCCCGGTATTTTCCACTATTTCTGCTGAACAAAGTTGGTGATAAAAAAAATTGTGTTTATGTTAAGAGATGATTTCAACATTTATTTTTACTCTGACATCTCTGAAGGGTATGAAATGGCTTAACATACTAAAACCTGTAGAAAACTAAAAATTTTCACTCAAGTAGCCATTTTGAAGGAGGTTGGTCCAGGGACCTACAATTATCCTGAAAGAGCTCATGTGATGAAGGAGCTTAAAAACACAATTCCTGGGCCAGCAGGTGGTGTAGAGGTTAAGGTGCGGATCCCACCTGGCCAACTACGTGGATCAAGTCCCAGACCCAGTGGGTGCGAGTGCGTGCATGCGTGCCTAAGTGCCCAAAATCTCGAGAGGAAAATGGAGGCATAGGGATTGCGGTATGGCCATCCCCCCAGGGAGAGAGATAATTTCTTAATTTCTCTCTCTCTGTTCTCTCTGGTGACAGCATGCACCCTATAGCATATTAAAACAAATAATAAAAAAACAAATAGGCAAGCAGGTGGCGTGGTGGTTAAGGTGCTAGACTCCCACATGGCTGATCACGGTTTGAGACCTGGACCTGGCGGTTTGCTTTCTTTCTCTCTCTCTTTGGTGAGCACATGTGCCTTATACCAAATTTAAAATAAATAAATAAATAAATAAAATCAATAAATTCTAAAAAGAAAAAACAAGTAAAAGGGAAAAACCATAATTCCTGCAATCATCCTTGGCCACCTCTTCCTGAAAGCTCTACACGTGCTGCGGACGGCTGTTGGCTTAGGTGGCCGTGCTCCGCTCGGTAAGCATGGATGGCTCCCTCTGCCCTTCTGACCTGCGTCAAGCTCCCTACCACCAGGCCATCCCAACTTCATCGCATTTCCCAGGTCATCTCTGGGGACTCTACTGAAGACATAGGTCGTCTTAAAACGACCTGTTCTTGCTAGTCTCCATGGGCTCTGCCAGTTTCCATCTCTCTCTCAGAGAACTCTCCCACCCCTCATCACATATGCTTTTTTTTTTTTTAAAGAATTATTTAACTTAACTTTATTGATGTATTGATTCATTATTTTAATTTGACCAGAGAGGGACAGAGAGAGAGAGAGAGAA